TGCGGCCGCCTTTTCCCACGCAAAGTTTGTGATCTATTAAAAACAAATGTGATGATAAAATGTGCGCACCGGTAAGCAAACTCTGACCCAAGCGTACGTACATTTTGGAGGCATGGGAAATTGGCGACAAGAACGACAAAGTGGTGAATTGAAGCGTGCATTGATGTCTCTTCCACATTTTATTTCACTAAATATCAAACTTTACTGACAGATCCACATCATCAGAATCATTAAAACCGACGGTTTTATTTAGGCTTTAGCGCGCATGTAGTGAGCCGTTTCCGATAAGTAACTTTCAATATGACAATAAACGAAAAAAATTAAAAATTAAAGTCCGCCACATACACGTCTTATCCCAGACGGACTGGACTGTACACTAATGTAATCACTGATGTAGAGTTAAACATTAGACTAACACAAAACCATAGAGCCACCAGTTTTCATTAATATCTTTCAATATCGTGCATTTATCATCAAGTGTGGTTTTTAGTTTGAATAAAGATGACTGCGTCAGAGCGCAGAGACATGGCGATGGCTTCACACATTTCACCTTCTCGTTACTCAGCACGTCTTCATCAGCTGCATGTATTTATTCTGTAAATAATTCAAGTGTGGACGTTAAGTCGGGCATCTCTGACAGGATCATTAGGTCTATATATCCTCATAATTAGTCACAGAGCAGACGGAGTTTCCCACGAAAAAATGTGGCCAACACTTAAAAGTTGTTGCTCATTGATCAAACTTTTGATTATCTTATCTTTAGAATATGATGAGGGAGACTGCTGACTGACGTGTCTCTCTGTCAATATATGAAGAAATCAGTGTGGGTCGAGTAAACATGTAAACATTGCAGTATACTCGTGCGTAATGATGAACGGTGGATGTTTTGGCACATATTACGGCGTGAATAAAGCAGCGACGTGGTGTCATTCTCTGATTTTTCTTCAGTTTGTGATCCTCCTGCTGCAGTAAACTACCGATATGTCCATTTTATCCTTCACTTCATTCACAAGCTCCTCCTTTCTGGGTCAGAAAGTTTAGTTTCTTCGCCTAAACTTCCAAGTTTCGCCGCGATCCAGCGCTGGAAACCTTTGCTCCGCCCCTCGTTTGTTTGCATTGTCATCACGAGCTGCTTTGCATTGACCGTTTATGGTTGATTGTGGGCGTGTAGAGGGCGTGTAGAGGGCGTGTACAGGGTGGACCATGGGGCTAATCTACGTGCGCACATTTCCAGGTGGATCGTGATTTATAAAGGAAACATTGCGTGCAGGTGTGCGAATGAACGGTTTTATAAATCTGAATTATTTTGTGCGAACGCCATTTCCAGGTTTTCAGCGCAAGTACATTTTTAGTATGGATTTTACGCACTCTTTGAGACCCCTGATCCTGTTTTTTATCTCTTTGATTTTGCAGATTCTTCAATCACACTGCACCACTAAGGGGGGGGGGGGGGGGCTGTACATGAGGGGGTGTACCCTGAGGGGGGATGTACCCTGAGGGGGAGTGTACCCTGAGGGGGGTGTGCCCTGAGGGGGAGTGTACCCTGAGGGGGGTGTGCCCTGAGGGGGAGTGTACCCTGAGATGAGTTCACCTGAGTCAGCCTGAGATTTCTTCTTCTTCTTGGTTTCCTCCATCGGGAAGAAGACCCCCTCCCCGTTCAGGGCCACCACACGTCCGTCGGCCAAGGGGATTAAAGGTAAATCTCTGAGGGTCTGCAGGATTGAGTCCGCCTCTCCGTAGCCGTGCTCCAGAGCGCGGAAGTTACAAACCAGCAGGCGGGCCAACTGACGCAGACCGCCCTCTACAGGACAGGAGGGGAATGGCAAACTTATGTATTTATATTTACAGAGAAATCTTGTCAGAATAAAATATTAAATATTAAAATAATTCACTATGACCAGTTTAAAAATGAAAAAGAAGATTTATATTTTATTATTTCACTTTTCAATCTTTAAATCATCACATCGCAAGTCTGAGGATAAAAGTGGTGTCTCACCTGAATGGATGCCTTCCACCCTCATCTGCTCCTTGGCCATGGCTGTGGTTACCGTGGTAACATCAGATCCCCGCAGGTATCTGACTCCCAGGTGGGTGAGCAGGGAGGTGGGCGCGGCCTTGCTCAGATCAGGATGGAGGTAAGACAGGGACAGATGACGCTCGAGCTCCTCTCCTCCAATGACGTCGCGGATCACAGCGTCCTGACAGACGGCCACCTGAGACGGCAGCTTGTACACCACCTGATCGCCTGACAGAGGGAGAAGAGATTTTTACAGGTTTAGAGCATCACCTGATCATCTAAGAAAAGGGTTTAACAGCTTTATTACAACACAGCCTGACAGCTAAGAGAGGGTTCATCACAGGTAATTCATAACAACACCTGAGCCTGTGACAGGTGATGGAGATACCCTGCTGCTCATCCAGTTCAACCAGCAGGATTTCACTTTGATTACACCTGTGCTGTTTGCTAGAAAACCTCTACTTGATTTTTTTAACTGGGGCCAAAAAATGTTCTATCTTCACTGTAAAATCTGGAATATAAGTGGCACCAGTCTTATTTTGAAGATCTCTCAGAGGGAAAGAAGGTTAAAACTTCTGTGTGATGATTTCTAATGAAGCAAAGTCCACAACATGCAGCTTCTCAGCAGCTGTGTCGCTCTTTGGTACCGTCTGTTTTCTCTTTGTGGCGTTTGCTCTCCTGCTAGCTACAGTACACTAGCCGAGCTCTCAATCTTTATTTACTGGAAAATATAAAACCGTTTTCTTTAAATGCTCCATTATGACCTCGTGAGGAGGAAAAGATATTAAAAAATTCTTGGAGCCAGCCTGCTCTGTGTCGTCATGTATCCCTACGGCTTGCAATACATGATAAATGGCATCATTAGCTTGTTTTTCATTTTGTGTGTGTGTGAAGAATAATGAAGTATAAAATATTTTTTTATAGTGTATCATATAATGTAGTAGGTATATCACGTCATACATCTCCATGAGTGAGCTCATCAAAAAATGGAGGCAAACACTTTCACACTGTCTAAATAACACAACATTGGCAACATTTCTGTACTGAAATATTGAAAATGTATTTGTGTTATTTACACAGTGTGCTAGAGTTTTCCTGCAACTTTTGACAACTAAAATCAATAAATGACCCAACATTGTAGGTCTAGGACTTCTATGTTTGTTGCCATGGTATCAAGATTTTTTGGTCTGATTTTTACTTGAATCATATCCAAGTTTAAACCTCTGGTGTTGGGATGAACCTATCATAGTGTAATACCTGAGCTGAGTGTGGGCAGGAAGGGTTTGCCCTTCAGCAGCTGAATAATCTTCCCGGCAACAGGCTTGAAGAAGTCCAACACCTCATCAGGGAGGGGGATGAACTGCAGGAACTGACAGAGACCCCTCAGCCTCCTGAACTCTGGATGATTCTGAAACAAGGAGAATAAACAAGAATCCTTCTTAATGTCACCTGGAAAAATAGCTCACACGTAAGATGGAGGGGGTCTTCAGGTGGACATCACAGAGGAGACCAGATCCAAGTTCTGATTGGATCATAGAAAAACTGCAGCACTACACTATAGCCAGTTTTCCTTGACAGATTCTTCAGTTATATAATGAAAAGGAGTGGATTGATCTTACAGTGAAGACGTCCATGGCCTGCAGGAAGAGTTCTGGTATCTCAGATCGAAGCCACTGGTTCCAGGAGCTGTCTCTGTCTACGTCCTCTCGTGAAGACGGGATGTCAAAGTCACCTGAAGGAAACATCTTTTCGTTATTACACAAACTTTGTGTCTGTGACTGACAGCTCAGTAATCCGTGTTTTCATCCTCACCTTGGATGATGAAGCGGAAGCCGAAGCTGCGCAGTGGCAGGTAAGCGAAAACAGGTTGTTTCTGTGGCTGGAATATGATGTCACTTCCTGTGATGTCGCTGTTAAGCTGGAAGGCGAGGGCGAGCTCTGTGGATTCAACGTTCTCTTTGATTTGAAGCTGAAGCTGAAAACAAGAAAAAAGACTGACTTCTTACAGAAAAGGATTTTAATATATTACCATATCTTTAATAAGATATGATAAGGGGGCATGCGTGTGTGTGTGAGAGTGTATGTGTTACCTTCTTGGGCTGGACCGTAGTTTTGACCACCAGCCAGCGCTCGATGCCCTCCGTGTGCTCCACCTCCAGCACGTTGTGACTCAGGTCTTTCCGAGTCATCATCACCAGACGCTTCTCGCTCTACAGGAGGAAACAGGCAATACTTCTTCATCTTCCGCTCGAGCTTTAATAACCCACAGGGAGGAAAGGTGTGAGTCCTACCTGGTTGTAGATGGTGATGGAGCGCAGACGATGCAGAAAGAGCAACAGGGAGGGGTGCACGTCATGGAACAGGTTTCTGGTCTGATGGTTGTCAGAGCGCAGAGGGAGGCAGATCTTTGTGGTCCAGCTGATACAAACACATGAAGACAAATCTGAGGACCCTACATGTAAGCTGGCTGGTTGCTGCTTAGACACCTGTGACTGATGTGACTGATTTTACTGATCACCAGAAACAACCAACAACACGGCGTTCCAGCAGAACTTGCATGATTTTATTCTGCTGTTGGGAAATGTGACAGTTACAAGTGTAAATCTCTGCTGTTAGTGTATCTTCTGACCTGTGCAGGTTCAGCTCCTTCAGGTCAGTGTCCAGCGTCCTCTCGTCTTCGCCCCAGTGAGGGAGGATGTATCCCATGGGGCCGCAGGTCTTGTCAAAGTGCAGATGGAAGCCGTTAGAGTGAATCTCAGGACAGTCTGTGACTTTAAACACGGACTTGAAGCCAATTCCTTTTTGTCCTGTGAGGAGAGGAGGAGCCAGGATAAAGACATGGTCACATTTCTAACAGTAAGAAACCCTGACATCACTGACTGACACTCATTTGTGTGTCGTCGTGCACACACTCTCACCTGTGTATCATTGTGTAAACACACCTGTTCCTGTTGTACACCCTAACCTGTGTGTTCCCATGCACATGGACAAGTACACTTGTGCACACACTCACCTATGTATCTCTACTTGTGCACACACTCACCTATGTATCCGTACTTTTGCACACACTCACCTATGTATCGTACTTGTGCACACACACACATGTATGTATCCATACTTGTGCACACACTCACATGTATGTATCCGTACTTGTGCACACACACACACACACACATGTATGTATCTGTACTTGTGCACACACTCACATGTGTGTATCCGTACTTGTGCACACACACACACACATGTATGTATCCGTACTTGTGCACACACTCACCTATGTATGTATCCGTACTTGTGCACACACACATGTATGTATCCGTACTTGTGCACACACTCACCTATGTATGTATCCGTACTTGTGCACACACTCACCTATGTATCCATACTTGCGCGCACACACACACACACACACACACACACACACACACACGTATGTATCCGTACTTGTGCACACACTCACCTATGTATCCATACTTGCGCGCACACACACACACACACACACACACACACACACACACACACACACACACACACACACACACACACACACACACACACACACACACACACACACACACACACACACACACACACACACACACACACACACACACACACACACGTATGTATCCGTACTTGTGCACACACTCACCTATGTATCCATACTTGTGCTTGCCCTTGGTGCTGTTGCCCACGTCACAGATGGCTCGGATGTTAGTCTCCTGGAAGCCGCTCTCGTTGTTGAGGATGGTGATGCAGTCTCTCTCCACCACGAAGGCCAGAGAAGGAACCAAGCCGTCCTCTGATGGGTAACTGTTGTCATCGGCATTCTGGGAAAATATAAAACAAAATAATTAATAGAACAGTCTCAGGTGGCATTCTCTGTATTTCTATAAATATTCATATTCCTAAAATCTGCCACATGTGGCCCCCATCAACCCTCAACGTGGCCCTCAGGTCAATTTTTACAAATCAATTAATCGGAAACACAAAGAAAACATGACGAAATTTGTGAACTTTTTTACATCCTACAATTTGGCCCCTTGGCAATGAGAATTAAATGAATGTGGCCCTTGCTGTGACCAAAGTTGCCCATCCCTGATCTATATATTAGTTTTTATTTTTAATAAATGTCCCAGGGTTGTTATGCAAACTAACAGCTCCATTTTCACAACTGAAGAATGAAACTCTGCAGAACATCTAAATATGATGTTCCTTTAAGTTTAAAGGATATCCATCTCTCCAATCATTATGTGAGGAGACCAGGAACCAATCTGAGGAGCATAAAATCTGAAGTGTTGAATGTTCCTGATAAAAACCTTCATCTGCTCTCGTATTTAGAGACATCCCCGTCAGAGTGTCATGGAGAGCCCCGCCCTGTTCATGTCACATCACTCATTTGACTATAAATACATGTGAATGATCTTCCTGTGTGTTTTTAAAGGAGTCACCTGAATGAGCTCCAGGACAAAGTGTGTGTCTTTGCTGTAGAGTTCAGTGGAGAGGCGGTCCAAGCTGCGGCCCAGAAGCTCCTGATGGCCCTGTATCAGCCTCTGACCTTCAGCGTTCAGCTCCACGCCGATCCCGAACTTACTCTTTCTGTAAAGGAGACGTGGAGGAGAGCGTTTAGACGAGCTGCTCTTTTAGGATTGATGATAACCTAATACACACACTGTAGTAACAAAACACACCTGATGTCCTCGATGACTGCTCTGTGGAGGTCTAACATGCTCTCTGATTGGCTGACGGATGATTCCTGCTCAACAGAATCAGATATTTTGGACTTCTCCTCATCCTCGTCCTGAACTCCTTCGGCTTCACTGCTGACAGCTGATGCTTCTCCGTTAGGCAGAGAGGCCAGCTCATACAGCTCCTCTTCATCATCTCCCTCCTCCTCCTCTTCCTCCTCATCGTCATGCTTGCTGTTCACTGAATGAAAACATTAAGAAATCAAACAATAAGAAACCAGAGCATGGTTCATTAACAAAGTATAACAACAAGAGGCTGAGGTCACCTGGTTGGAGAGTCTGGTTGAGACTGGAGGAGACGAAGCTGCCATCCATCATGTTGTCCTCCGCAAACTCGTCTTCACTCGTGTTCAGAGCCGACAGACTGCTGCTCTCAGAATCCATCAGATTAGACTAAAGTCAAGAAAAGAGAGACGGAGACACAAAGAGTAACTTTAACACATGCAGCTGCACTACGTTGACCGATGGAGTGCCAACTTGCCCTTCTTTTATAACATCCCACAATGAGAGTGAGATACGACACATGTAGTGTAGCAGCTAACATTGTGCCAAGTGTAACTGCACAGTGTAACTGCACAGTGTGGGAACACAGCTAAAGAGACCTGGTTTGTCACTGAACATTGCACAAAGTTAACTTCCTGCGTCTGAGTCTCCCACGTGCTCAGATTGTCTTGAAAAGCTCTCACTGCATCAAACATGTCCGTGGTCACACAGCCCGTCTCTGAAGCTCACTGAGAGGATACGGTATATTGAACAGAACCTGCAGCTGGGACGGGGACCTGGAACTTGCTAGTCTTGATTGGTGGCAATGGTGGTGCATTCAGGGTTCGTCATCGTCATTCCATGTGTACAAGTCGAGTGAAGCTCTGAGTTTATGAAGCGGGACAGTGAGTCACACGCGGCGGTCACTGGAGACACATGACGTGGTCAGGTATAATCAGCTGCTGTCCACCTGTGATCTGAGCAGCATGCCCACATCAATAATTCATAGCTTTCAGTGACGTCACCAGCACGGGCTGGAGGGCAAAAATCACTCAGGAAATTAACGGCCACCATTGAAAACCCTGTAGAACTGCAGCACAGGGTACTGTGCAGGATTTAACATCTCCTGTAAACAACACATGTTTACATCACCTGACAACCACAGCAAAACTAAGATATTGAGATAAACTTTGAGTTTGGGGCACTTGCAATACTTTAACAGCACACTATTTATTGAAACGGCAAAGTCCGTGCCGGTGTTACGTTTAAAAGAGTTACCGTGTTAACTGGTGACTCTCAGCCGAGTGAGTCTGGTTGTCGTACGTTACGAGTACTAACGAAAGCCTATTTGTTTAGCTTTCATTAAAACATATCTCATAAGTAATTTTGACATTATGATAATACAAAAAACAAAACAAAGAGGCATTTGTTAGGACACTTTCAGTTGCGTTTGTCTGAAAGTCATCAGTTAACATGGTCACTCTTTTCACCGTAACACCAGAACGTCACTTCAGTGATAGTGCTGATATTTAGAGGAGAATCCCTCTCCTTACACCACTGTAGGATGAAAGTTTACAAACATATAGGCAGCTTTATGTATTATTCATCGGTCTGGGTCGATAATGCTGCTGTTTGAGAAGTGAAGGGCAAGAAATTCCTCATCATTAAAGCATCAGTGAGTGCTAATTAGCTGACATTAGCTAGTGAGCGTTAGCTAGTGATAGTATCAGCTGTCAATTGCAGTGTTCTGGGACAGTAATTTGAGTTAACGGCAGGAATATTTAGATTTAGTCAACACAATAATTGATGTCAGGATGAGAAGTCTGATGTTCCCCGTCACAGGGGCCGTGGAGGGTCTAACTGCATTAATCCACAAACGTCCTCCTTTCTGTTTTTTTTGTCGGATTGAATTCTGTAGAAGCAAAACTCGGGTTGGTCTCCTCGTTGGTTAGTATATCATATTAAACAACACCGGTATTTCATTTGAAAAATAAAAAACCCTAACCCATAGATAAACACACGTAGGGGGCAACTGAGACCAGTAACTTCTCAGTACCGTACTGTGGTAGAGAGTCTTTCTCGCCCTCCAAGTGGGCGTTACCATTAGAGTGTGACGTCATGTGAAAGCTATGAATACCTGGCTCTCTCAGTGAGAAAATATAGAAATATGTGTTTATGTTACATAAACATATGTTCACTACTCTAGGTTCCTTTGACAGGGTGGGTGCCCTTGCTCATAAAGGATCTTCAGCTCATACCGGACATCACAAACTGATGTTGTCTACAGACGAGCAGCTGCTGTGTGAATCGTTTTACTCTGCTGCAGTTATTTGAACATTTTAATGACTTATTATTCAACTCTGACCTTGCTGCGTTCCTCAGCAGCTGGCTGTGCGTCTCTGGGGTTCTGCCGTGCGTTCAGTTTCTTCTGGAAGTCTTTGCTCCACTCGATGACGCCCAGCAGGATCCCCAGCCGGTGCAGACAGTTCAGGTGTCTCGGGTCAGACTGGGCCATGGTGATCAGGACTTGTTTGGACTTGGTCTGACCCAGGACGCCAGAGAACGGCTCCAGGAACACCTGAAGTCACATTCACAACACATGTGATCGGAGGCAGCAGGTGTCATATTTTATCCATCCATACAAGTGTGCTGAGGTCACTCTGAATACTGCGCCACTTTACTTTCTTGTTTACATTGTGTGAATGTTTCCTGGTTGTATCTTAATAAACAGACTGATATAATAAAATGAATGTGCTGTATGTGACTGAGGAACATGAGCGGAGCAGTGGGACCAACCTTGTTCAGGACAGCCTGGCTGATTCTGGACGGGATTCTTATAAAACACTCCAGGAGGAATTTAGCCACTGTGCTGTAACACGACACGTCCTCTTCATCCTGAGACATTCCTGACAAACACAAACATTATGTTAGCAAACATCCACACTTACATGTTAAAGGATTCAACACTTCCAGGAGAAACAACCATCTTCACTTATAGCAGCTAAACTCAACCTGAATCATTTACTCAGGACTCTGCTGATCCTGTACTCTATGCTGGCTGCACATTCAAAGACTGTGATGACCCTCCACACCACCAGGTGTCCAGGTTTTGCTGGTTCTTTCTTCTCTGTTGGAGATTACGGTCAAAGCGAGGTCCTAATTAGGGGATGGGGACTACACCACGGCCAGTGTAGTCCTCATCAATAAATCCTCCTCTCCAGACAGACGTTTCCTCCCCCTGCTCAGCGCCGCACAGCTCTTTCTTTTTTGTTTAACACACTATTTCATTTTGTTTTGTAACTAAATGTCATGTTATTTTGTCTCGACTCCTATTTGTGTTGCAACCTAAGAGCTGAAACCAACTTGAAAAATCACAAATATTCTAAACAGTATTCAAACACCCGAGTGGCCTTGTCAACCAAGCCTCTGGTAACCAGGTACAGAGGTCATCTGGTGTTTTTGCACTATTGTTTTATAAAGGTTTCATATCAATCAGATGAATGCAGCTCTCTCTTCACCGTCATTTTTAGTCCTCAACATTACGTCTACAGTTGGTATAAAATGCAGCAGCGAGGTCGTTAACACACTGCTTGTCTTTCCCACATCACTCCAACTCTTACCTCCTTAAGTCCTGACTCCTACCTACATAACTGAATTACTGTGTCCCTATTCTAGCAGCTGCCTTCTCTGATCTTCTGATCAGGACCTCTAAACAGTTTTTCGTTCATATTTTTTATTGTGTTTGTAAAACTCTGGTCGCTACCTTCTCGAGCGACGGCTGCGTCCAGTGAGCGCTGCACGTGATTGGCCAGGAGGGCGGTGGGAGTGTTGGCGACCCCATCAGCGATCACCATGGAAACCAGGTGTCCTGCTGTTCCACGGGGTCAAGCATGGTCACGGCAGCTGAGAAGTGTTTGTCTCCTGTGTGTGAGGTGATCCTGAACAGCTGACAGGCGTCACCTCCAGCGCTGACAAACCTGTGTTCCCTGTCAGAGAATAAAAAGAGTTCACATGTTGCAGAAATATGTGTGTTTAAATATTGAGGACTGACCAACAGCCAACAACCTTTTTATTTACTGTAATTTGCTTTTCCCAAAAGGAAAGTTTAATAAACTCTGAGCAGGATTCATGTCTCTGCAGAAGAAAAGGTGCGGCATGTTTTTTACAGGTGATACCGAGACTCACTGCGTTAGACTCTTACTGCGTTTCTCTCGATGAAATCTTTTAGGGGCGTGATGCACTTTGAACACCAGCTCCCACTGACTCCACTCACTTAAATCCTCCAGCAGGGGCAGCACAGCAGGCTGGACAGCGCCTGCTCCTTGGACACCTCACCCAGACATCCACCGCACAATTCCAGATTCAGCACTGTGCATGGAGAGAGGGAGGAAGGGGAGGAGAGAAAGAGGGCGAGAGAGGGAGGGATAGAGTGGGCGAGAGAGGGAGGGAGAGAGGGGGGGAGAGAGGGCAAGAGAGGGTGGGAGAGAGTGGGGAGAGGGAGGAGAGAGGGAAAGAGAGAGTGGGGAGAGGGAAGGAGAGAGAGAGGGCGAGAGAGGGAGGGAGAGAGTGGGGAGAGAGAGAGGGAGAGAGAGGGGGAGAAGGAGCAAGATGGGGGAGAGAAAGAGATTTGTGCATGTTCAGTTACAGTTGCAGGAAAAATGAAACATATGAATTATGTCTCTGGTTGATGTGAAATATTTATCTTACTGTTTGATCTGTTAAAGAATCTGATGAAATGATTTTATTTATTCAAGAGCTTTAAAATGTTTTATGTCCTCAGGCTTGTGTTCGGAGAATCGTGAATCAATTTTCATTGAGGTATTTTATCTTTCACTTTACGCACATACATCTTTCAATTTATTCCTGGAGTGAAGTCAATTACACTTAAGTTTGATTTTCTGACGGTGAACTTTCAATGAAATCAAACTGAATCAAAACTGTCCTGAC